TCAAGTGAGTTTCTGTCACTTGCAACAAAATAGGCCTGAGAAATACTGTTTTCTTCTAAACCAAGGGAAAAACAAAGACCCAAGGTGTGGGGCCCCTTCATTTCCACTGTCTACCAAGGAAAGGGCCCTGATATCAAGGCACAGGAGCTAATAAGCAAGAGCATCACACCTGTTCCAATCTTGATTCTAATACTAGCTTTATGAACTTCCACAAGCAAAAACCCCTCTGAACCTCAGTATCATCATCTGTAAAAAAGGGATAATGATATTATTTCCCCCATTGTTGCTTTGCAGTCACTAAGCCAGGTCTAACTCTTTTCAACCCCATGGACTGCAGCATGCTGGGCTTCCCTGTCCATCACTATCTCTTGCAGTTTGCTCAGACTCATGTCCATTGAGTTGATGATGCCATCCAACCATCTCATCCAGTGTTGCCCCCTTCTCCTCCTGCCCTCAATCTTTCCCAGCATCAGGGTCTTTTCCAGTGAGTCGGCTCTTCACATCAGGTAGCCAAAGTACTACTTCCAAAGAATATTCAGGGTTGATTTCCTTTAGGGTTGACTATTTTGATCTCCTTGCAATCCAAGGGATTCTCAAGAATCTTCTCCAGCTATTTTGAAGTGAGTGCCTGACACGCAGTCCTCACTCCATAACTAGTAGCTGTTCCTATGACTTCCTTTCCCTAAGCTTTTCTGCTCTGTTCCACCAGAATCTCAGGTCAGAGTGGTACAATCTCAGATTTCTAGGGGCCCTGGAGCTTGCTGCAAAGCCTGTGTGTAGTTATTGGCTCCAGGGATTTGGGAAGCTCTGGCCTCTGCTGAGGAGGTTTGAGGAAAGAAAAGCTCAGCCCTGGTCTTGGGCCAAAGGACATGCTGCTCAGGAACACACAATCATGGGAATGGTGGCCCAGCCAGAGGGAGACTGGCTGTGTGGGAGTCCAACTCTCTGCCAAGGGCTCACAGAGCCAGTCATTCTCAGCAGGCAGAGAGACTTCCCACGTGCGCAGAAGAATCATCATTTATTCATCTCATCATTCAGCAAAAAAAAGTGTCCCAGGCACTGGGCAGGGTTTTTTCAGGGCTTGAGGTCAGTTAACCAACACTAGTGTAAAAACCAGGCTGAGTCAAAGAATTGATGCTTTTGAATTGTGGTGTGGGACTCTTGAGAGTCCCTTGAACAGCAAGGAGATCAAACCAGTCAATTCTAAAGGAAATCAACCCTGAACATTCATTGGAAGGACTGATGCTGTAGCTGAAGCTCCAATACTTTGGCCAGCTGAAGGCAAAGAACTGACTCACTGGTGAAGACCCTGATGCTGGGAAAGATGGAGGGCAGGAGGAGAAGGGGGCAACAGAGGATGAGATGGTTAGAATGCATCCCCAAACTCAACAGACTTGAGCCTGAGCAAACTCCAGGAGATAGTGAAGGACAGGGAAGCCTAGTGTGCTGCACTCCATGGGGTTGCAAAGAGTCAGACAAGACTTAGTGAGAAAGGCTTTGTCCTCAAATAGTTAAACGTAAAACACAGGTGGCACTAATGGTAAAGAATCCGAGTGCCAATGCAGGAGATGCAAGACACATGGGTTTGATCCCTAGGTCAGGAAGATCCCCGGAGAAGGAAAAAGCAACCCACTCCAGTATTCTTGCCTGAAAAATCCCATGGACAGAGGAGCCTGTTGGGCTACAGTCCATGGAGTTACAAAGAGTTGGATATGACTGAGTGACTAAGCATGCAAGAGCAAACACAGCTGCAGCATGTGGAGCTTAAGCGATGAGCTTCATACAGCTGGTCTCTCAGCTACATCCCCCTCCGCCGCCTTTGTTCCCCAGGGTGACCTCTCTTCTGGATAGTGGCGGTCTGGTGGTCCCTGAGTCCTCACTTGGTTGTGAGGCGGCCTCCTCGCTGGCCCCCTATTCCAAGCATCCCAGCTACAACCCTCCCTCCCTACTATTGAAATCACAACCACCCCAAAGCTCCAGTCAAGTCCTTCCCTGCTAAAAAATCTTCAATAACTCCTCATCTCCTGGGGGACAAAATCCAGGTGCCTCAGCCTGGCATTTAAGACTTTTTTTTTTTTTTTGCATTTAAGACTCTTAAAGGCCTTCCTGGGTGGCAAAATGGATGCGAATCTGCCTGCCAATGCATGGGACACAGGTTCGATCCCCTAGCCTGGGAATGTTCCGCATGCGGCAGGGAAACTAATCCTGTGCATCGCATCTACTGAGCCTGTGTGCCGCAACTACTGGGCCCGCATGCTGCAACTGCTGAAACCCATGTGCCTAGAGCCCATGCTCTGCAACAGAGAAGCCAGCTCAATGAGAAGCTGTGCACTGCTACAAGAGAGACGCTCCCACTCTCCGACAGAGAAAGCCTGCTTGTAGCGATGAGGACCCAGCACAACCAACAGACAAATAAATAAAAATTTTAAAAGATATGGCCCCACCACACTTGCAGTTTATCCCCTAATCCATCCTTTCCTTCAAATAGCTTACACACCCACTGAACTGAATTATGCCCTATTACGTCACACGGCCCAGCACTTTCTCACCTCCACGCCGTTGCCCAGGCATCGCTTCTTCCCACTTATCTCTGTGTGTCCAATTTTTATCCTGCCCTGAGGCTCCAATTCAAACACCACCTCCTTCAGGAGGCATTCTCACTGTCCTTATTTTTAAACCTCTCTCCCTAAACGGGCACCCCAGGCACTTTCCTTTGAGCCAGTTACACTTGAACCTGGCTGCCTGGGGAGGTTGAATTGCAGGGTGTTGTATGTTTGCCTTGAAAAGTGTGAGAAGCCACCAACTGCCATTTCTCTGTTCGGTGGACATGACGAGTCACCCAGGAGCAGGACTTCACTGCTCCTCCCTGAAACCCTGAGTGGCCCCTACTTGGAGATGCAGATGTGAAGGGAGTCGTCCCTCCCAGCCTCAGCCCTAGGAGGATGGTGTTAGGGGACCCTTGGAGGGGCTGCCAGAGGCTGCCCCTCTGATCATCTCCCTGCACAGAAGTGATCTCAGAAAAACATGATGGACAAATTTGTCCTGAGAGGACGGGAACCTGGTCCCTCTTGCTTTCCTCCCAAGGCTGACGTTACTAGAACCCTTGGATGGAGTGGACGTTTCCCAGAGAGCTGCTGGGGCCAACAAACACTGAAGCTCCCAGAGGACCTCACACTGAGTCAGGGCTGGGGGCGGCTGGAGGTGTCTGGACTCACGAACTGGCTTGACACCAGCTCAGAAGGCGATGCCAAGTCGATGGCTTGTGCTAGAAGCTTCTGAGACCCAACACCCCCAGCAGGATGGGGAGGCTCTGGGAACAACGGCTGAGTGATGGCAAAAAGCAAAAATCTCTGGAACTGATCCTTCATGGTAGCCCCACGGTGACAGTGGTCTAGGACATGCTAGAGTGGGCGGCACCAATTCCCATCTGTGCTGCTATGGCAACAGGGCAGAAACTGGGGCCAGCTAGTGGGGAAGCGGGGCCCAGGGCTCGCTCTCTCTCTCCACCTGGCATTCGGAAGTGAAACGCAAGCCTAAAGCAGCCTCAGGGTCCTGAGACAATCTGGGTGTGAGGCACGTAGAGAAGCTACACTTGAGATCTTACTAGAGACACATGGGTGCCTGGGCAGTCAATTGGACAAAGAAGAAATATAACCACAGTTCCACCCAGAAACAATGACGCAGTCCCACCATCAAATGCTCAGCACAGGCTTCCCTGTTTTATTTTTTTTTATTTTTTTGGCTTCCCTATTTTAAATTAGGGCTGGGAACATCCTGGTGGTCCAGTGGATAAGAACCCGCCTGCCAATGCAGGGAACATGGTTTCGATCCCTGGTTTGGGAAAATTCCACATGCCATGGAGCAACTAAGTTGGTGTGCCACAGCTACTGAGCCTGAGCTCTAGAGCCTGGGAACCACAACTACCAAGCCTACATGCTGCAGCTACCGAAGCCCTCACAGGTCAGACAAGTCCCAGCGTGACCAAAAATAAATAAATAAAAATTAGGGTTGGGGCTCTACAATTACACAATAGTCTTTGAGTCTTTATCTCAATTTCCTCTGTAATATTTTGCCCTGCAGTAAGTCAGAAAAACAAATATCACATATTAATGCATATATGTGGAATCTAGCAAAATGGTACAGATGAAACTATTTACAAGGTAGAAAGAGAGATGGAGATGTAGAGAAGAAAAAATGCACAGATACCAAGGAGGTAAAGGAGGGGTGAGATGACTGGGGAGACTGGGATTGCCACGTATACACTACTATGGATGAAATAGATAACTAATGAGAACATACTGTATAGCACAGGGAACTCTACTTAGCACTCTGTTGTGACCTAAATGGGAAGGAAATACACAAAAGAGGGGATATATGTATACATATAGCTGATTCACTTTGCTATACAGTGGAAACTAACATAATACTGTAAAGCAACTAGACTGTAGTAAAAATTTTTTTAAAAATATATTTTTCACTGTGGAAGACACATTATACACATTTGCTGAAAGGAGGGAGGCAAGGACTGTAGTTCTAGGAGAATCCAGAGGAAAGACTTGGAGCTTGCAACTTATCAGGGCAGGCTTCCTGGCAGAGGTGGCTTGGGAGGGGCCTGGAAGGAGGAGCATGCGAGAGGATCATATGTCCCTGTCGCATGTCAGGGGCTAAGGTCACAGCAGATGCCATCCACATGTCCCCACCTGCTTTTCTCATCCTCAACCTCCCAACAATTCTGCTATTGGGGGATTCATTTTTTAGGAAAATAATACAGATATATCTTACTTTTGCAAGTTTTCCAAAGTATACTGAAAACATACCCCCAGGTAAGCACATTGCCAGGCCCCCCCAGGACCCCAAGGTTTAAGCCTCATTAGCTTCCAGTAGCTGGGCTCCACCAGCAGGAGCCCTCCCCCTCCACTGGGCCAGGCTTGGACGCCCCATTAGCTGGAGGCACCCGGCAGAGGCTGCTAAATGCTTTGTGAGCCAAGAGTCAAGCTGACCTGAAAGGCAAAGACATCCTTGACCAGAGCCTCCCCAAACACGAAGCTGGAGCCGGACTCAGTGTAGCTCAGGAAGACCTGAAAGGAGAAAACAAACAAATCCAAACCCGGGAGTGAGGCCAAGAAGGGCAGAAGGAGGAAGCAGCAGCAAGGGAACCAGGTTGGGGTGACCTGGAGGAGCTTTGCCTGCTCCCCATGCCTTCCCAGCAGCCCAGGAGAAGAGAAGGTCTTGGAGGCTGCAAGATGAGCCCTCAGGCCGTGGCCTTAGAGCGGGGGCAACACGTGTGTCAGTAAAGCCACACTTGCTCCTTCTGAGCACATCTTCCAGAAGAGACAATTGTAAAGAAATACTCTGAGGAAAAAAAAAAAGAAATACTCTGAGATGAGAGTTGTTGGGACAAGAACACTGAAGAAGAGACAGAGGAGGAAGCAAACAGTGAACTGCCTGGAGAAGGCGGTCAAAGGTGGTGCCCCCGTGCCTCCCTGCCGAGGAAACAGCCCCAGCCTGTCCCACCCCGGGCTCCTGGCCTTGGTGTTGCAATCTGGCCACCCTTCTATAAGAGCCCTGTATTTATTTAGGACCAGAACATGCACTGTGACTGCAGGCCAAGTCACTTCTGTTGCCTGGGCCTCAATGCTCCCGTTTATAAAATGAGGGGTGTGCCCAAAGCAGCAATCTTCCCAGGTGGCGCTGGTGGTAAAGAACCCACCTGCCAATGCAGGAGACAGAGAAATGTCAGTTCTATCTCAGGTAGGGAAGATCCCCTGGAGGAGGGTGTGGAAACCCATTCCAATATTCTTGCCTGGAAAATCCCCATGGACAGAGGAGCCTGGAGGGCTACAGTCCGCTGGTTGCAAAGAGTTGGACGTGACTGAGTAACTGGGCACGCACGCCCAGAGCAGCGTTTTTTTGCATCACAACACCCATGCAGGTATCCTTGGTGTGGCCAGAGGGCGGGCCTGGGCAGAGCCTGGACATGTGGGTTCTCCCTGCCCCCGCCCCTTGGAAGCCCTCCCTGTAGAGAGTGCATGGAAATTCGAGATAGTGAGAGAGAGATGAGTATAGTATCAACCTCATGTCCTCCATAACTTATATTTTAAGAAGTAAATCATGACTGTCCAATGATGTGAAGGAACTTAATGATACTCAAAAATGATTAAATGAAAAAAACAAGGTTAAAATGATAAATTTTGTGTTATGTGGTTTCATCACAATAAAGGAAAATTTAAAAGTTTAACTTCAACAAACTGAATATTATTTTTAAACACACATACACTCCAATACTTTGGCCACCTGATGCAAAGAGCTGACTTGTTGGAAAAGACCCTGATGCTGGGAAAGATTGAGGGAAGGAAGAGAAGGGGGCGACAGAGGATGAGATGGTTGGAAGGCATCATGGACTCAGTGGATGAGTTTGAGCAAACTCTGGGAGATAGTGAAGGACAGGGAAGTCTGGCGTTCTGCAGTCCATGGGGTTGCAAAGAGTAGAACATAACTGAGTGACTGAACAACAACAGCACATATATAAACTAAATCACTTTCCATTTTTAAAGCACTTTTAACTATTATAAGTTCCTTTCCTGATGAGGACCAAGGGCAACAAGCCTTGGGCCTGGGTATCCTAGGAACCTTCCTGTTTTGAGATTCTCTTCCACATCAGGCCACCCTCTGAAAGGACTGCTTGTTTGGGCAGGTGGGACCAGGCCTGAGGGAAGCAGTGGCTGTGCTGCCCAGCCTCCCACTGCCCAGGGGTCAGGGGCCCCACACACACCCACCATCCTGGCCACAGTCCCTCTGTATGGCCACCTCCCTCCAGCGCAGAGGCTTCTCCTCCATCCCCTGGCAACCCAAGACGCCCGGGCAGCTACACCCCATGTACACACCTGGATCTGGTCGCCCAGCCACTGAAATGCAATAAACCCTGGTTCTGTTCTGATGACGATGAGTCCGAGTACAAACTGCAGTCCAAGACCCCAGAACACAGCCCGCCAGGACACCTGCCACCCGAGAGAAAGGCCCAGGTGAGCTCGGCGCCTGGGGAGGTCCGCAGGGAGGAGGTGGGTGAGGGCAGAGGGCACAGCACTGCTGAGGGGCTCTGGGAGCTTCGGTCAGCCTGTAGGGTGAGGGCTGGACCCAGAGGAGCTGTGGGCCTGTTGCCGATGGTTACATCCCCCATGGAGTGCAGAACAGGCCACAAGGCAGCAGTGGGCCTGGGCAGTGGGCAGGGGCGGGGTCAGATCTAACCAAGGACCAGCCGGGAGCCACGGCACTTGGTCCTGGGGCATCGCTGGGTGGGTGGAACCCTGGCCTCAGAACCTGGCCTCAGCATAACCTTTGTCTGTCTGGACCTTCCCCATCTCTCCCACATAGTCAGGGCTCTGACCCCACTCCCTCCAAGCACTTCCTCCTCCCCAGCAGAAGGGAGCTGGACACCTAACGGCTGGATAACCTCTTGGCATTGAGTGACTTCTTAGCAGTGACCCCTTTGCCCATGTGTGGCTCTGGAGTCTGGGAGGAGGTGTTAACCACCCTGTGAAACAGGGAGGGGACCTGACACTGGACAGAGAAGAGGCTGAAGCCCCTTCTTGGCCTGAAAGCTAAGCACTCACTGCGCGGTGATGCTTTGAGAAGGCAAAGAGGAGGCCAACGAACACGCAGATTCCGCCAAAGGACACCAGCTGCTCAGGCCGCCGAGAGGTGTCCAGGGCCAGCCATAAGACCAGGCCCAGGAAAGCAGCAAGGGCTAGACCCCTGCAGGGGAGGGGCAGAGAGTCATTACTGTCAGTATCTCCCCACCCCCACACAACAGCACCCAGGGCCCCAGGAAAGGGTACTCAGGGCTGGTGGGAGGAGAAGAAGGAGAGTGCTGTGTGGCCTCGGACAGACCACCTAGCCTCTCTGAGTCTAGTTTCCTCATCAGGTAAATGAAGCCAAAGACCCTTCCCACCCCCAATTCTTAAGATTGCTGAGAGAACTAAATCAGAGGATGTGGGTACTCAGCTTAACATGGTGCCAAGCACATAGCAGGAATTCTCATAGCTGCAGTGATGCTCCGCTCAGCCAGCATCTGGCCTTTCCAGGGTAAGGTGGGGTCTGTGTGGGCTGGAACTCAGCGCCATGGGCCATGGGCTCAGCTCCCCTAAAGCCCAGAAGTGGTGGTGTCAATCAGGGAGGCAGAGCTGAGTACCTGAGACCAATGACCGAAAGTGACTTTTACAGCCATGTCTCCTTCCCTGGGGCTGGGATCTGCTTGTTCAGGACTATGTCTGTCTTCCCATATTAGTAGCTCAGTCATATCCAACTCTTTGCAATCCTATGAACTATAGCCCGCCAGGCTCCTCTGTCCATGGGACTCTCCAGGCAAGAATATTGGACCGGGTACCTATTCCCTTCTCCAGGGAATCTTCCCAACTCAGCGATAGAACCTGGGTCTCCCACATTACAGATGGATTCTTTACCGTCTGAGCTACCAGGGAAGCCCTGAATGTCCAGGAGGCAGCCTAACAATTTAAGAGCCCAGGTTCAGGGTCTAACCCTGACCCAGTCTTCAACTCCCTGGGTACTACTAGCCACAGCTGAAGTTCACTGACCTCCTACTATGTGCCAGGAACCATGCTGAGTGCTGAGAGACCTATAGTAATTGTCCTCGTCCTAGAGACGTAAAAATTAATTTGCCCGTGGCCACCTGTCTAGAAAGCAGCAAAGCTGAGATTCAACCCAGGCACTCTAGCAGCAAGTTTGTTCTCTTAACTAGTGCTATGCATAGTCACCAGCTGGTAAGAGAAGGACCCAGGAGCTAAACTCAGGCAAGCTAACCCCAGAGTTCACTGTTTATTTCTAGTGTGTTTTCCAAACTCCTATTATGCCAGTTCCATTGGCGTAATTTCTGCCTTGTCTCTGAGACACCTGTATGCCTCTTTACTTACTGTTATCCTTGAGGTTAACTGGTGTTATAAAAACTTAAATGCATGTTTGGAGGTTTATTTTGGGGTGGAGAAGGTTTTTTCTTTTATTCTTACAGCTGTAGGTTTAATTAATTTTTCTAATTTTTTAACTGTATTTTTCTAATTTTTAAACATTTTTTAAATAAACTTTTTATTTTATATAGGAATATAGCCGGTTAACAATGCTATGATAGTTTCAGGTACATAGCAGAGTGACTCAGCAATATATATATACATATACATATACACGCATCCATTCTCCCCCAAACTCTCCTCCCACCCAGGCTGACACATAACATTGAGCAGAATTCTCTGTGCTATACAGTTGTTCTTTGTTGGTTACCCATTTTAAATATAGCAATGTGTATATGTCCATCCCAAACTCCCTAACTATCTTTCCCCCTGGCAATCATAAGTTCATTCTCTAAGTCTGAAGGCCACAAAGATTTTTCTGCTGTTTTCTTATAGTAGTTATATAGTTTCAGGCTTTACATTTAGGTTTATCATCTATTTTCAGTTAATTTTTTTAATATAATGTGAGACATGGATCAAGTTCACTTGCTTCTCTCCTCCTTCCTCTTCCTCCTCCTTCTCTGCTTTCTCCTACCTATGGATATCCCATTGTTCTGGCAGAATTTGTTAAGCTGATTATTATTTCTTCACTGAATTGCCTCAGCACTCTTGTCAAAAAAATCAACTGGTTTTATATATGTAGGTCTGTTTCTGTGCTCTGTTCTGTTCATTGACCTATTTGTCTGTCTTGATGGCAACAACACATTGTCTTAATTACTGTATCTTTATAATAAATGGAAAATTCTGAAAGAGATGGAAATACCAGACCACCTGATCTGCCTCTTGAGAAACCTGTATGCAGGTCAGGAAGCAACAGTTAGAACTGGACATGGAACAACAGACTGGTTCCAAATAGGANTAATTGGAAAAGACCCTGATGCTGGGAGGGATCGAGGGCAGGAGGAGAAGGGGACGACAGAGGATGAGATGGTTGGATGGCATCACCAACTCAATGAGCATGGGTTTGAGTAAACTCCAGGAGTTGGTGAAGGACAGGGAGGCCTAGTATGCTGCGATTCATGGGGTCGAAAAAGAGTCGGACTGAACTGAACTGAACTGAGTGACTGAACTGAACTGATAATAAGTCTTAAGGACAGTTAGTGAAATGCATCAGCATTGTTCATCTTTTTCAAAATTGTCTAGGCTATTCTAGGCTCTTGGGATTTGCATATGAATTCTAGAATCATCTTATTATTTCTACCCCAAAAGTCTGCTAGAATTTTGATTGAGATACTATTAGAATCTATAGATTAACTTGAGGAGAATTGATATATTAATAATATTGATTCACTCAATCCATGAACTTGATATGTTGCTCCATTTATTTAAGTCTTTTTATTATATATTTCTCTCAGCAATGTTTCCTAGTTCTCCATGTACAGGTTTGGAGGTCTTTTGTCAGATTTATCCTTAAGTATTTCATATATTTTATGCTATTCTAAATGACATGATTTTAATTTATGATTGTTTGTAATTAGTATATGGAAATACTATTGTATTTTGCATGTTAAGCTTGTACCCTTCAACCTTGCTAAACTCACTTAGTAGTTATACTATCTTTTTGTAGATACCATAGAATTTTCAAGCTTCCCAGGTGGTGCTAGTGGTAAAGAACCTGCCTGCCAATACCAGAAAAGAGATGAGGGTTCGATCCCTGGATCTCAAAGATCCCCTGGAGGAGGGCATGGCAACCCACTCCAGGATTCTTGTCTAGAAAATCTCATGGACAGAGGAGCCTGGTGGGCTACAGTCCATGGGCTCGCAAAGAGTGAGACACGACTGAAGTGACTTAGCACACAAGTACATGGGATTTTTTTTGTAGACAATCCTGTCTGTGAAAAAGGACTGCTTTACTTCCTTTCTAATCACCATGCCTTTTATTTCTTTTTCTTACCCAACTGCACAAGCTAGAACCTCCAGTACAATGTTGAAAAAAAATTAGTGAGAATAGGGGTTTCCCTGGTGGTCCAGTGGCTAAGACTTCATGCTTCCACTGCAGGGGCCCAGGGTTCAATCCCTGGTTGGGGAACTAAATCTCACAAGCTGCAACTAAAGATTCAATGTGACGAAACTAAGACCCAGCACAGCCAAACTAAAAAAAAAAAGGTGGTGAGAGCAAACATTCCTGTATTGTTCTTGATCTCAATGGATCAGCGCTGTCTTTCACAATTAAGTATGAGGTTAACCATAGATCTTTGATAGGTGGTCTTTATCAGATTGAGGAAGTTCCCTCATATTCCTAGTTGGCTCAGAATTTTTTTTCAGAAATGAATATTGAATTTTGTCAAACGCTTTCTCTTATCTATAGGCATCATCATATTGTTTTTCTTCTTATAGTCTGTTAATACGATGACATTGATTGATTTTTTTTAATGTAAACCCAACTTTGGAGTCCTGGGATAAACCCTTCTTGTTAATGACATATTATCCCTTTGTGTATTATTGTATTTGGTTTTCTAAAATTTTTAAAATAATTTTTACATCTTTGTTCATGAGGGTTATTGGTCTGTACCTTTAATGTGAGTATTAGTATGGGAAAGGGTTAGATCTACCATCTTGCTATTTGTTTTCTATTTGTCCCATCTTTGTTCTTTGTTTCTCTTTTCCTGTTGCTCTACCTTCTTTCAGATTGTTTAAAAATTATTCTTTATCTCTTTTTTTTACTTGTTAGCTATAATTCTTTGTTGTTATTTTAGTGATAGCTTTAGCATTTATGGTATACATCTTTATCACAATCTACTTTGAAGTGATATTATATCACTTAAAATGCAGTATAAAAATCTTACAGCAGTCTAATTTCATTTCTTTTCTCCTAGCCTTTGTGCTACAGTTGTTTACTTCTACATATAATATAAACTCCACCATACATTGTTCTATACTTGCTTTATAAGTTGATTTTAGAGAGATTTAAATAATAAGAAAAATAAGTCATTATATCCACCCACATAGTTACCCTTCCAACACTCTTGATTCCCTCATCTAGATCTAACTTCTCATCTGGCATCATTTTCCTTCAGTTTGAAGACTGTCCTTTAACATTTCTTATAGTGCATCTCTGGTTTTTAATGTCTGATTCTTTCAGCTTTTGTATATCTGCAAAAGTCCTATTTCTCCCTTCTTGAAGGATATTTCACTGGTGAAGAATTCTAGATTGACACACTTTTGTTTTCATTTCTGTTTTTTACAGTTTCACTGTTTCCTCATTTGTATTGTTTTTGAGAAGAAATCTGCCATCATCCATATCTTGTTCCTCTGAACATATGTTTTTTTTCCTCTAGCTGTTTTTAAGATTTTTCTCTTTATTGATGTTTTTAAGCAATTTGATTATGATGTGCTTTGGTGTGGTTTTCTTCGTGTTTCTTGTGCTGTAGGTTTGTAGAATTTCTTGGTGCTTGGGTTTATAATTTTCCTCAAATTTGGAATTTCTTATCCACTGTACCACCAGGGAAGTCTGGGTATATGTTTCGATCTCTCTCAGATATAACCCAGAAGTAGAATTGCTGGTTATGGCAACTCCATAGATAATATTTTGAGGACCTGACTAATTGTTTTCTGTTGCAGTTACATCATATCATATTTCTATCAGGAGTATATGAGGGCTTCCAATTTTTCCACATCTTTGCCATCACTTGCTATAATCTGTCTTATTTCATTATATCCATCCTAATAGATGGGAAATGGTATCTTGTGATTGGTGGGGTTTTTTTGGCTATGCTGTATGGCTTGTAGGATCTTAGTTCCTTGACCAGAGATTGAGCTCATGGCCATTACAAGAAAAGCAGCAAATCCTAACCACCAGAAACTCCCTTATCTACATGTAATTTTTTTTTAAAGGAAACTTGATAACAATACCTCAAGTGGAAAACCAGTATCAGTGATTTGTCATAAACAGAAGATGACTATAAAAATAAATCCTCTTATAAATCTATTTAATAAACAGAAGGCAAATATAAAAACAAATCTATTTATAAAGAAAATGAAAATTTTGTTTATAGGCTGACTTAAAGCATTTTGCTGTGGTATGTAGATCTTACTTTGGGAAACACCCTTGTGCCTTGCACCTGCCTGGCTTAGTCACTGGGTATCTTTGGGCACCAGTTTCTTCATCAACAAAAAGAGTACCATTTTAAGCCATAGATCTTTTAAGCCATAGAAACATTTTTTTCCCCCAGCTAAAATATTTTCTGCAAGCTTGTTTATAAAACAGAGTTGCCTGGTGGAAATGGAAATTGGGAGGCAGGGTGTCTGATGTTCCCCTCTCCAATCTCCCTCACCTGCCCTCTAGCCTCCAGTTTCCAGAGCTCTAAGGAACCCAGTTTAAAAACCAGGGGATCCTGCTGAGACAGAGTGGGACCCTATGGTCTTTGCTCCTCGACCCCCAGGTCCTTTGCCTGCCTTTTGTCTGTATAAAACTTTACTCAAAGAATAAATTTAACCAGAGAAATGAGAGATGCAGAAACAAAGGAAAGCAGTCAAAGGAGACCAAATAAAAATAATGTAGGAAAAAAAACAATAATGTTGTCATTAAGCAGAGTCAAGGACCTTTAGATCCCTCTCAAGGGCCATAGATAGTATTCTGAGCCATCACCTATGAACTGTGAGTGTCTTACAGATACTGAAACTACCCCCCAACACGTGGAAGAAGTAACTCCATGACGACAGACTACCCGTGACACAAGCTGCCACAGTTCCGAGAACCGGCCTAAAAGAAATGGAAGCAAACCGACCCTGGAACTGAAGATTAACTATACCTAAAACAATCAAGGTGATGTTGGTCAGACCACCAATGACCAATTTGAAGATGACTGTCCGAGATGACTGTGCTGTTTCTGCATGTAGCCCCCTCCCTTGGCCTATAAAAGCTCTCACTCACTGCTTGTCATGGGGGGAAATCAGCCTTTGGACAGATGTCCCCGAACAACTTGTCTTGCCCTCAAGTTGCTGGCATCTGAAATAAAGCAAACTTTCCTTTCCACCAACCTGGACTGTTTACTGGCTTTGGGGCAGCAAGCAGCCAGACCCCACAGCTTTTGGTAACCCAAGGGCTTCCCCTGGTGGTCCAGTGACTAAAGCTCCTTTCTCCCAATGCAGGGGGCCCAGGTTCAATTCCTGATCAAGGAACCAGATACCACATGTCATAACTAAGACCTGGCACGGCCTAAATAAATAAATAAATATTTAAAACAAAACAAAGAACAAAAGGATCTCAAACTGTTGCTCAGGAAAGTGGCTGGCTACATGAGAGTCCCTTGTAGCTAACTAAAAATATTAACTAATGGGAAAAGAATTTGAAAAAGAATAGATACATATTGAAGTGGTAGAGAATTTGCCTGCAATATAGGAAACCTGGGTTCGATCCCTAGGTCGGGAAGATCCCCTGGAGAAGGAAATGGCAACCCACTCCACTATTCTTGCCTGGAGAATCCCATGGACAGAGGAGCCTGGCAGGCTACAGTCCATGGAGTTGCCAAGAGTCAGACACCACCAAATGACTACCACTTTCACTTTCACTTAGGTAAAACTGAATCACTCTGCTGTTCACTCGAAACTATCACAACATTGTTAATCAACTATACTCCAATATAATATAAAAAATTGAAAAAAACATATTGACTCCTGGACCCCAATTCAGATTGCTGAATCAGACTACAGGGGTGGTCCCCAGCAGCTGGACGTCTCACTCAGGCTCTGGGTGTTCTGATCATTGCATTGATATGGCCCTCCCAGCTTGAATGGGCTGGGATCTCTGAATTTAGGAAACTGTTTATTCCTGTCCTCAGGTGTGAGAGCCACCTACTGTAACTGGAGCAGAGAATCAGACGGGAAGTGGCAAAATACCACAAAGATGCCACAAAGCTGCCTCTGAAGCTACCCAGCAAGACCTGCCCAGGGGTCCCAAGAGGCAAGCAAGGGAGTGGGCTCCCCATGACCCAGGAGCCTCAGGTGGGACAAGGACCAAAGTCCTCCTCACCCAGCCCTGGCCGTGCCACAGGAGCTGACTCAGAGGCCCTCTGCCCATGTGCCTGCCCACTCCCATACCCCCTGGGGACACACTTACCTCTTAAACCAGAGTTTCAGGCAGGGATGCCCTAGAGGTTTGACACACCTCAGCAGTTTTGGCCCCAGCAGCCGCTTGAGCAGGCTGTGGGCCAGGAAGACGAGGACCACACAGGTGAGGACGAACAGTGCCAGGGCCCTCTGGAAATTCAGGATGCAGGCTGCCAGCAGGAAGGCAGTATATGCTGGGAGTAGGTGGAGGATGAAACAGAGAAGGGATTATGGGTAACGACAGTGGCCTCTTTGGGACCCTGCTGCCCTACCCGCAGCTCCACCTAATCCAGCCAGAGCTCTCAGAACCTTAGTTTCTTCATCTGGTAATGAGCACAGTTGTCTTGGCTTAGAATGTGTGTGAAAGGGCTTTGCAGACTCTAAAGTGCTGACCAAATGTGAGGGAGGTGTTTAAGGAGGAGGTAAGACAGCATGAGGCTTCCCAGCTGGCTCTGTGGTAAAGAATTCACCTGCCAGTGCGGGAGACGTAGGAGACTCGGGTTTTGATCCCTGGGTCAGGAAGATCCCCTGGAGTAGGAAATGGCAACCCACTCCAGTATTCTTGCTGGGATAATCACAGCAAGAGGAGCCTGGCAGGCTACAGTCTGTAGGGTCATAAAGAGTTGGACACCAGTGAGTGATAGCATGCGCGCATACACACACACACACACACACACACACACACACACACACACAAAAGACAGCATGAATCTCTGAGCATCAGTGGAATGCCTGCCATATTCTAGAGCCTTGGTAGGTTCCTAGGTGAACAGAGACAGATAAGTCAGCTACTCCAGAAAACCATTGACTTCTGTGTGCCAGGATCCCGTTCTGAATATTAATCAATGATCATTTTTCTTCCTGGAATTTCCTTTTCCCCCTTTGCCCTTCTCCCCATTTGAGCAGCTAGGCCCATCTGTGCTCTACTTCAAGAAAGGAATGTGATAGTGGAGAGCAGAGGAGAAATATCTCCCCCTGGCTTATGAATTTCAAGAGCCAGGACCCTTGAGGGGAAAGAGGTGGGATGGAATTGGGAGATTGGGGTTGACGCATATGCAGTACTGATAACGTGTATAAAATAGACAACCGGAGGGAACATACTGTACAGCACAGGGAACTCTACTCAACTCACTGGTGACCTGGATGGAGGGAAATCCAGAAGGGAGGGAAGGCAGGTACCTGAATGGGTGACTCATTTTGCCATGCAGTAGAAGCACAGCAGGGCTTGCCCAGTGGCTCAGCAGTAAGTAATCTGCTTGCAATGCGGGAGCTATAGGAGATGTGGGTTTGATCCCTGGGTCAAAGGGCATGGCAACGCACTCCAGTATTCTTGCCTGGAGAATCCCATGGGCAGAGGAGCTTGGCAGGCTACAGTCCGTAGCGTCACAAAGAGTCGGACACAACTGAAGCGACATAGCGCTCATGCACAAGAAACATAGCAACACTGTGAAGCAGCTACATTGTAATAAAATTTAATTAATAAAAATAAAATAAAGACCTAGTGATTTAAAAAAAAAGAATCAGGGCCCTTGAAGAATGGGAAAGACTTATAGCCTTCCCAGCAGATAAAAAGTTTTGAGGGTCATCCCTACATACTCTGCTGCCAGACTAGTTAGAGGATGCCGCTGGGTCCCAGAGAAACGGGCTCTGAGCCTGGGGAGGTGGCAATGGCCTGGGTGTGTTTGTGGCACTTCGAATAAAAGAGCCCTGCCCCAGGGAGGCAGCAACATTTCACAGAGAGGAATGCCATGGGGATGTGGATGAGAAGAGCCAGAGAAGGTTTCTGAGGTTGTGCACACCTCAGCAGGCATGAAGCAGGCACAGAAGTGATCTCTATGAGAGGCTCAGAGAGGAAGGCCCACTTCCTGGGAGGGTCTCCATGGCTACCTGCAGTGGCAGAGAACAGAGGACCAGTTGGGGAAATGGACAGGCTAGCAGATACTTGAAAACTGATAGTGTATAAGCACCCCCAGATGGCCCAGTGGTAAAAAATCTGCCTGCCAGTGCAGGAGATGCAGGAGACATGGGTTCGATCCCTGGGTCAGGAAGATCCCCTGGTGGAGGAAATGGCAACCCACTCCAGTATTCTTGCCTGGAGAATCCCATGGACAGAGGAGCTTGGCAGGCTGCAGTCCATGGAGTTGCAAAGAGTTGGACACGACTGAGCAACTCAGCACACACTCAAGTACCCACTGGGGACTCCTGTGGAAAGGGATAAAGGAGGTTTCAACTGATAGATAATTCAGTTCCTCCCCTCACTTGGAACAAGGAAATTGAAATAGAAAATAAGTTGAGTTATGGAAAATGAAGTTACCTTTCTCTCACATAGAAAGATGGGGACACCTGCACAGGTGTCAGTTAGAAACATACAGGTGAGGCTCTGTAGGGCAGGGCAGGGATGCAGGCGCAGGGCTGTGGGAGGTCAGAGGAGGGGGAGCTGGCGGGAGAGAGGCGCCAATCTCGGCACTCTATAGCACTGCCAGGCTTACTACTCACAACCAAACCCTGGGTCAGTACTGTGTGATCCCCCTCCAGAGATGAGAAGCAAACTGATTCACACAGGGAGGAAATCGGGCTGGGATATCAATCCAAGTCTGCCTGCGGCCAGCAGGGACTGACACCGCATGTAGGAGATGGGGCTGTGTAGACAGGTCTTCCAGGCAGGACAGGGCAGAAAAGCATCTTAAGAAGTATTTTCATCCTTCTAAGATCCCTGTAATCTCCGGAGACAGGACTTTGTTCCTTTGGGGTGCCCCTACACACTCTTAGCCCATGTGGTCCAGCAGAGCCTGACCCTCTTCATGGGAGGAGGACCCAGGGAGGAGCACATGGCCCGAGGTATGCCAACCACAGACCTCCAGAAATACGGGCAAGAGGTGCACTCTTCTGAGACCGGGGACAGTGAGGCCCTCCACGTCAGTCAGCCGCCAATATTATCTTGGCATCTGTGGAGAAAGCCCGCCTAAGGTGAGCAGGCCACTGCTTGGAATCAAAGCAAGTGCTGAGAACACGAGCTTGTACCGTGCCTGCTTCAGAAAGTCCATGATGAGCCTTATCATAGAAGACATGATACAATAAAGACAGCAGAGAGCTGGAGGAAATCAAAATCACTCAAACATGGAGAAAGGAAGGGAGCTCCTGACAGCCAAGACAGAAGGGGAAGTAGGAAGGGGAGGGTCATTTCCACGACCTGCTAGATGGAATTCAACCATTTCTTCGAAAAAAACAAATCTGAATCTGAGTGAAGGAGGACACAAGGGGAGCCAGAAGGCCCTGCTCAGCTTCTGCCACAGGAAGCCTTCACCGCATCCGACATCCATCGGAGGAAGCTGCCAGGGCCACGAGCCAGCCCCATCTCAGCAGGGGACCCCACTTTGACTTAATCACAAAGACTGGGGCCACCGCTGACATGTCTCCCCGTCCTCTCCCCGTCCTCTCCCCGTGTAGCCCCCACGAAGGTCTGGGCAAATACATCACCTCCCCCTTTTATTTTCCGCCTTCCACGCCGAGGCAAGCCTGCAGCCGTGAAGACATGCCCGTGCCTGGGCAGGGTTCCCCTGCTTCCCTTGCCCAGGGAATCTTGCTCCACTGGTCACCTCTGCCACCCCGCTTCTGCCCTTCATTCCCCAAACTCCCTGCCTCAGTTCAGAAAGCCGGTCAAAGTGTCTCCCTTCACAAACACACCCTCTTCCTGGAAACTGCCACACCCTTCTATTAATATTCCTGTCCAGGACTTCCCTGGTGGCGCAGTGGATAAGAATCTGCCTGCCAATGATCCGGGAATATTCCACATGCCGCGGAGCAACGAATCCCGAGCACCGAAACTACAGAACCTTCGCCCTAGGGCCGTCGAGCCACAGCTAAGAAGCCCTTGGGCCACAACTACTGAAGCCCACACGCCTAAAGCCCGTGCTTCACAAGAGAAGCCACCACAGTGAGAAGCTCCCGCACAGCAATGAAGAGTAGCCCCCACTCACCACAACTAGAGAGAGCCTGTGCGCAGTAACGAAAACCTATCACAGCCAAAAATGAATACATAAATAAATGTGTATTCGCACCCAGCTCTCATAAAAAAGTTTCTCAGAAGAGCAGTGTAGACACAGCTTACCATCTACACTGCCTCTCCTCCTGTTCTCCAATCCAGCTGTTGCACCTCTGCCCTAAGTCACCATGATCTCCTTGTCCCTAAAGTCCACAGGCACCGCTCCATCCTTGTCCTGCTGGTCTCCTCACTGCAGAGATGCTGGCCATCTTTCCCTCCCTCTTGCAACCCTTTGCTCCTGGTCTCATGCTTGCTGCCCCACCTAAGCCACGAGCCAGCCCCATCTCAGCAGGGGACCCCACTTTGACTTAATCACAAAGACTGGGGCCACCGCTGACATGTCTCCCCGTCCTCTCCCCGTCCTCTCCCCGTGTAGCCCCCACGAAGGTCTGGGCAAATACATCACCTCCCCCTTTTATTTTCCGCCTTCCACGCCGAGGCAAGCCTGCAGCCATGAAGACATGCCCGTGCCTGGGCAGGGTTCCCCTGCTTCCCTTGCCCAGGGAATCTTGCTCCACTGGTCACCTCTGCCACCCCGCTTCTGCCCTTCATTCCCCAAACTCCCTGCCTCAGTTCAGAAAGCCGGTCAAAGTGTCTCCCTTCACAAACACACCCTCTTCCTGGAAACTGCCACACCCTTCTATTAATATTCCTGTCCAGGACTTCCCTGGTGGCGCAGTGGATAAGAATCTGCCTGCCAATGATCCGGGAATATTCCACATGCCGCGGAGCAACGAATCCCGAGCACCGAAACTACAGAACCTTCGCCCTAGGGCCGTCGAGCCACAGCTAAGAAGCCCTTGGGCCACAACTACTGAAGCCCACACGCCTAAAGCCCGTGCTTCACAAGAGAAGCCACCACAGTGAGAAGCTCCCGCACAGCAATGAAGAGTAGCCCCCACTCACCACAACTAGAGAGAGCCTGTGCGCAGTAACGAAAACCTATCACAGCCAAAAATGAATACATAAATAAATGCGTATTCGCACCCAGCTCTCATAAAAAAGTTTCTCAGAAGAGCAGTGTAGACACAGCTTACCATCTACACTGCCTCTCCTCCTGTTCTCCAATCCAGCTGTTGCACCTCTGCCCTAAGTCACCATGATCTCCTTGTCCCTAAAGTCCACAGGCACCGCTCCATCCTTGTCCTGCTGGTCTCCTCACTGCAGAGATGCTGGCCATCTTTCCCTCCCTCTTGCAACCCTTTGCTCCTGGTCTCATGCTTGCTGCCCCACCTATACCCCTTCTCAGGCTGTCTCAGGGCCCCTCGTCTTCTCTACCTCCTTCTGTGTGACCGGTCTCCACGTTTCCAAACATGAGCCACCTCTCAATTCATTCTCCAAGCACCCCTGGGAAGCTTCTTCTCCACCTGGAGGGCCTGGCAGCAGTTCCTTCCACACATTGTCCAAAACAACTTGCCATCCCCCTCCCGGCCGAGACCCCCTCCTCCACCTGTGGTCCCTGGCTCTAGTGAGCAGCATCACCCACCCTGTGCCCCAAGCAGAACTCCTCCAGGGCCCCCTTCGTCCTGCATGGTGATCAGCACAGTGATCAGCTCCCAGGTCTGACTGGTGTGGCTTCCTGAGGATTTCTCAGATCCACTCCCTCCATCTTCTCCACCCCTTCATCTTCTCCCACGTGTATAGTGGCTCTCAATTGTCTCCTTTTCCCGTCTTTCCTGTCTGCCTCCTCTGGGTTTCCACAATGTGAATCCAAGCTTGCCACTTCCCTGTTTAAATCCTTTGATGGCTCTCTCTGGCCTTGAGAGCAAAATCCAAGTCTCTCCAACCCCCCTTCCCAATACCTGGCCTCCTCCTCTGGCACTCCTGGTCTAGAACTTTACCCTCCAGCCACTCGACTCTTTATCGGCTGCCTGCCCACATGCTGCAGGTTTCCACCTTTACTCATGTGTCCCTCTACCTCCTCACTTCTCTTCTTTCCCCTTTTACCTGGCTAATTGCTGTTCACCCTGAGAGACCAGAATGTTACCTCCTCCTGGAAGACCCCCAACCACCCCCATGATCCCTCCCTGGTGCTCCCAGATGGCCTGTGAATTATGTGGAAATATATGTTCCCCTCTCCCTTACTGATCAGAGAGTTACCTTGAGAATAAGATCTGGTCTGGCCTAATTCATATGTCCCAGCTTCTGGAACAAGAGCTGGCCCTGAGTCGGTGCTCAAAACCCTTGTTGAGTTGTTGGGTAAGTGAATGACCCTACCCTGAGACATGGTTAGCTGGGTTGGAGGTGGCTGAAACCTGGGTGGTGGGGGCAGGGGGCTAGGCAGGAGTGACTGTCTCCCTGGAAGGGGCTGGGCCCAGAGCTCACCAGTACAGAGCAGGCCTATGCAGATCCAGCGGAACAGCTGTGCGTGCTCCCTGCAGAAGTGTCTCACTCTCAGGGCTGGTTGCAGCCTCCTTCTCCTGGGGAGAAGACCAGCAGGGTCTAAGAGAGGCTTCCCCACCAGACTCCCACACCTGTGAGGATCCTCAACACTTCCAGGCAGAAGCCACTCAGCTTTATCCCCAGTAAAATGGCAACCCTGGCCTTGACATCCCACAGGGCCAAAGGTCAACCCTATAGGAGGAAGCCGAAGAATGCCTTGACTGCAGCCATGAAATTGAAAGATGCTTGCTCCTTGGAAGAAAAGCTGTGACAAACCTAGATAGTGTATTAAAAAGCAGAGACATCACTTTGCTGACAAAGGTCCATATAGCCAAAGCTATGATTTTTCCAGTAGTCATGTATGGATGTGACGGTTGGACCACAATGGAGGTTGATCACTGAAGAATTAATGCTTCCAAATTGTGGTGCTGGAAAAGACTCTTGAGAGTCACTTAGACTGCAAGGAGATCAAACCACTCAATCCTAAAGGAAATCAATCCTGAGTGTTCATTGGAAGGACTGATGCTGAAGCTGAAGCCCATTACTTTGGCCACCTGAGGTGAAGAGTGACTCATTGGAAAAGACCCTGATGCTGTGGAAGATTGAAGGCAGGAGGAGAAGGGGACAACAGAGGATGAGAGGGTTGGATGGCATCATCATCTCAATGGACATGAGTTTGAGCAAACTCCGGGAGATGGTGAAGGACAGGGAAGCCTGGTGTGTTGCAGTCCATGGGGTCACAAAGAGTCAGACATGACTCAGCCCTTCACTGTTTCCGGCCTCTGTCTGTCCGAACCAGCTGTTCCTCAGCCTGGAGCAGCACCACTAATTACCACAGTGATGCTCCAGGCTCCAGGGCTTCGGAAAGAATGAACTGAGACAATAAGGAAGAACATCACCCACATAAAGAAATGCACCAACCACGATGGCTGCCTCCCTTTGCCTGTCCCATTTCCACCTGTCTGAGGAGCAAGGAGGAGCCTTTGGAGGCACTCAGCTCTGTACTTATTACACCTGTGGAACCTTATCCTCTGAGTAACAGCTCCTCCCAGAAAAAGGGAGGAATCAACAGCCCACCAGCAGCCATTTGGCACCCCCACTGCCTTCTGAATCTGGAGCAAATGTCAGTTCTTGTCTGGTCACTTGGTCACCTGACTGCCCCCAGAGGAAAGACTGAATAGGTCCCTGGGGACCTGAATAGCCTCTGAGGTCCCCCAGCCTGAGCATATAAGAGATGATCACTCACACTCATTCAGTCACCACTGTTTAAAGGAAACTCTCTGCTCTCTGTCCCCACCTCCCACTGCTGTTCAGTTGCTCAGTCATGTTCGGCTCTTTGCAGCCCCATGAGACCCACCAGGCTTCCCTGTCCTTCACTACCTCCCCACCTCCTAAGTGAGACATTTTTCTTCAGTCTCACCCCAAGGCAGACAGACAGACTCTGCCCCATTCCATGCTTGAAAACTGCAGGACTCTATGGGGCTCCTGGGCTCAGAAACCTTCCAGCATCCATGACCTTCCCTGAGTCCCAAAGGGCAGGTTCAAGCAGTTGCTAATCAGGGAAGGGAGTGGAGGCAAAGACAAGGGAGGAGCAGCCAAGAAACAATAATGCAGCCTTGGGTCAGGTCCTGGCTCAGCCTCAAGGAACACAGGTAACAGTATTTTTGAGCTTTTACCTAACTAAAACCCAACAAATGGAAAACGTCAGCATTCTTCATTCCAGAAAAGACCACCCGAGGCCAGATTAAAGAAACCAGATAAGTTCATCAAGAGATCACCTGAGACTCGATTAAAGGTGTGCAGGCCCTGCACACACCCTAATCTTGTCAGCGCCCCACCCTTGAACCTTTGCTATAAAACCTCACCAAATCCACCTGGGTGGGGACACACAGTTTTGAGGGCATGAACCCACTGTATCCCCCTTTGGCTGGCAAAGCAACCAAGCTACTCTTTTCTGCTTCACTCAGAACTCTATCTCTGAGATTCGATTTGGGACCAGTGCACAGAGGCTGTGTTTGTGGCTTCACATTCTCATCAGCTCAGGGTCTGGCCAGTGAGGACCTCGCAGTAGGCCTGGGTGTCAGCAGGCCGAGCCCTAGGCTCCATTTGCTGCCTGTGTGACCTGGGCCCACTTCTCTCCCTCCCTGGGCTTCAGCCTCCCCATGTGAAACAAGGGGCCTGGGCCAGTCTAGGGGGTTTCAAACTAAGCCTCAGGATTCCCTGAGGAGCCCTAGAAACCAGATGGGGTAGAAGGCAGCTGGTGAGTTGAGAGGGGGCCAGATTGGTTCAGGGCCCCCATCCAGCTTCAACCAAAGCAGCCCCCCAGTATAAATTGAGGTTCCCAATGGGAACCTGCTTCAAAGCAGGTTGGGAAACTCTGGCCTGGCTCACCACTGAGGCGGAGGCCAACAGAACTCACTTGTTTCTAAAACACCTTTACTCCTTCCTTCAACAAAGGTTCAGGGAGCCCCCTCCCCATCAGGGGGCCAGATTCCCCACCTCTGCTCCCCATGGGGGTCTCCTTCCCAAGCCAACAGCCCATGTCCCTCCCGGAGATCACCTACCATCCTGAGGAGGGCTCTGGGCCAGCCTTGCTCCAGCTGTCCCCAACTTCCAAAGGGCTTGCGTTGCTGCCAGGGTCTTGGCCTTCCTCCTAAAGGCACCAGAGAAGGAGCAGATTATGCCTCCCACCTCGAGGGAGAACTATGGCTGGGGGCCCGGAGTGTGGAGAGACCCAGGCTGCCACCAGTGTGCCCAAGGGCACCTCAGGAGTGTGCTGGGGTGGGGGCTAAGCACAGTGAACAACCAGAGGGAACTTAAGTAAATTCCAGAGTGTGCCCTGAGTACCTACAGTGTACTGTGTTCTGTGCTAGGCTCATCCTGCCCTCGGGAGCTCGTGGTCTGTGTTGGAGGGTGGGGAATGGGTGGGGGGTGGGTGTTGGTGTTGTGAGAAGAAGCCAATTCTGACCCTACGATGGAACTGTTTCTTTGACTTGCTTTTTGTTGTTTTTTTTATTATAACCGTACATATGATGGCCCGCCTCAGGGGACTCTGCCCCTGGGCTTGACTGTTAAACTAAAGTGCCTTTGTTCAGGACCCTGTTCACCTGTAGATGGCAGGAAGGAAGAAATTAACACATCCCCTACCTGAGGCTTGCCATTCTAGGAAATGTTTGCAAGATCAATGGCTTTTTTCTTGGCTCCCTCACCTCCCCACATCTCTGATCTATAAAAGAACCTGGCATCCAGACCCCATAAGATGGTTATTTTGAGGTGCTAGCCCACCGTCTTCTCAGCTCCCTGAATAAAGTCTTTCCTTTGCCTCAACCCTTTGTCCGAAGGATTCATTGGCCTGTATGCAGAGAGCAGAGTGAGCTTGGACTTGGTAACAGAAGGTAAACTCAGACGATAAAGAATTTCCCTGCAATGCAAGAGACCAGGGTTCGATCCCTGGGTCGGGAAGATCCCCTGGAGAATGGAATGGCTACCTGCTCCACTATTCTTGCCTGGCGAATTCTATGGACAGAAGAACCTAGCTGGCTATAGCCCATGGGGTCACAGAGTCAGACAAGACTGAGTGATTATCACTTTCACTTTCAACAGGAGGTTGGGAAGGAAGAGGGTGTCACGCTAGACTCCAGAGTACTAGGTGGTGGGCCTCAACCTGGCCATTCCAGAGCCAGGACAAGATTGCTGGCTCCTCAGAGGCGGAGCTTCCCCAGAGATACCCCCACGCCCTCTTTGTGAGGCTTTTCCTTACGTTTTAGATCACAGCTCAAATGTCATTTCCTGGTGGAGCCATTCCCTGACCTTTCCAACAAGGACAGGCAGTACTGGCTCGCGGTGGGTGTGCACAGATGTTCCCCAAGGGATGAAGGAGACTGCTCTGTGCAGAGGGTGGGGAGGGGAGGTCAAAACCCTGGGGGGGTTCGGGAGGGGCGGTTCCCAAGTGTTCACCAAAGAGGTGAGGAGGAGAGAGGGGTGGGAGGAAGATGGTGAACAAAGGACCCTCCCACCAGGTGGGGGTTGGGGGCAAACCAGGATGAGGGAAGGGACAGACCAGACTTTCCAAGAGCTCAGCCCCCCTGTTGTCCAAACCGTTGGCCACTGAGGCGAGAGAGATGGACTCTCTTCCTATAGGTGTGTCGTCCTCCATGAGCCAGACCTTGCAGCTGAAAGACAAAGTCAGGGCCCAGAGCTGAAAGGAGGCCAGGCAAGACCTGGCACAGTCTCTCCCATCCCAGAGCTCAACCCTCGTTAAGTCAGGGTCCCCAGGGACAGAGGAAGGGCCGCTTCCTGCTCTCCTGAACCTGTGAGGGGCAACTCCTTGTAAGTCTGGGAAGTCAGGCAAAAACTGGGCAAGTTCCACCCACTTCACAGAGAAGGAAAGGGAGGAATTCTGTATAGCATGTCTATGTGTCTGATATAGAGGCATTTTTCTGAACACATGCCCTAGCTTTCATCACTCCCTCCAACAGGTTAAAACCATTGCTATCAGGTGATATTTTCATTGCTATTATGTGATATTTTCATTGTATCATGTGCTCCCATCTCTGAAAGACAGAAATATCCTGAAGACATCATTCTAGTCCCTGAATCCAACTGTATCTGAAATCAGTACTCCCTCCTGGACTTTTCAATTACAAGAGCCAATGTAATTGGTATTTTTTTTTCTTTCTTTCTTTTTTCTTAGTGGGTGCTGAAGTTCAGTTTGTAGGCCTAAACTCATCTATAAATAAGAGCCCTAACTAACACCCTATCTCTCTCCACTCCTGCCCCCTCTCTTTTTCTCCCTTTTGGGTAGTACCCTACCCTGTCCAAATGCCAGCCTGACTAATCTCACATACCCGGGGGCAAGCACAGAGGGCCACACACAGGTGCACACAGGACCCCCAGGGACATGTAGGGAAGTAGACACACAGGCAGAGCCTGGGAAAGCCCAGCCACCCACGCACACAGGCAAAAGCAGACACACAGCTGCACAGAGCGGGGACAAGCTCCGCTTCCTACTCACATATTTGTGGTCAACACGTCCCTCTGGGGGACAGACGCAAGTGCGTGTTTCCACGGGGATGGGCTGGATCCAACCTGCTTGGGCCTTGGCCGGCCTTCTCATTTCACTGGAAATCCCTGGGCAGAGTCCAGAGTTGAAGGAGGCTGGGCCTCCCACCTGGCTCTGTCCAGCACCAACTCGGGAGCCCTGGGCCACGGCCGAGGCAGGGACTCTAGCCTCTGTCAGAGAAAAGAGGAAATGGGGCAAGTGGGCCCCATTCTGGACCTGGCCCTTGGAACTCCTGCCTAATGACTAAATCTGCCTTCCTCATCTATGATGCCCTCCTCTCCACTCTTCTCCCAAACAGGCCCATCTCTTCCAAGAAGCCCCCCTTTATTACTATCACTCTCCCATGTCCCCTCCTGGGGCCTCCTTTTCCACCTGTCATCAGGGCTTTTCAGTTTTCTAGATCATGTATTTTATCTTTCATTCTGTAATTTTCCCAGTCTCCCTTTTCTCACTACATCCGTAATTATAACAGCAACCTATTTTCCTGAGCTTGAAGATAAGAAAAGCAGTGTAGTACCACAAACAGTAAAAGTGTTTCAGGTCTAAGAGGTCTTGAAAACAAAATAAAATCACACAGTTTGCCTCTTTGTTTCACTGCTTTTTAACTGACACCTAAGCAACGGCATGCAAAGTCAATGGACAAACCCTTTAATGTTTTAATGCTGGAACTAAATATTAAACTTATCTGACAGAACTGACAACATCTCTTTAATAATTAATCAGACACACTCGTGACAGAATCCTTTGTGATGCATAAACACTTCCTGGTAACACAGAGAGGGAATTACCAGCACAGGCTGGTTGTTTTGGAAATCTGAGGACCAGGATGGGTGAAGGGCGGGGGTACCCCTTCTCTTAACAACATTTTTTTGGCCACTTTGATTACCAAAGTTACACATGCATCATTGAACATTTAAACATTATAGAAACAGACAGAATGCAGAAAGTTAAAAGTCCCTCTAATCTGAGCCTTCCAGAGATGACCACCGCTGAGCTTGTGGAATTTTTCTCCAGATTTTTTCATAAGTGAATACTCTTTAATGTTACTCATTTCACAAAAGAGGCTGGTAGTCTACCAGCTTTTTTTGCAATCTGTTCTTTCAGTTGGAGATCCACACTGCGCCCTGCTCACTCTGTTGGGGGCTCGTGGGCTGCCTTGATCACAAACTACATGCTTGTGGCACACTTCTGGTTTACCCTGAGCAGAACACTTGGCACCCTGGGCAGCCCCCACAGGGGTGGGCTTGCAGCTGCCCTGTGGGGTGGGTGGAAGGGCACATCAGGCCCCAGCAAAGGGCAGACTGGACTGTACCTGCTTCTCTGCCTCTGCCCCTTCAAACCTCTCCGTCCCTCCCCTCGCCTCTCCCCTCTCCGCATCCTCCTCCCTCTTCTCCCCTCCCCTCCTTGGTTGGTTTCTCTTGTGCCCAGAGAGAAGCCAGGAGACCTGACACATCTAGGAGTAACCAAAATTGTTTTGAAACATTCCCTACACTGTGTCCTAGAACCTTGACATCTCTATGTGGCCTGATCTCTCCAACAAGGACTTAATAGGCTGTGCCTCTTGAAATGGGGCTTCCCTGGACCTCCTGCAATGCAGGAGACCCCAGTTCAATCCTTGGGTCGGGAAGATCCCCTGAAGAAGGATCTGGCAACCGGCTCCTATATTTAACAAACTGTGAGCTTAGAGCCCAAAAAACTAGATTCAGTCCTGGTTCTGCAAGGTAGCATGTTTCCTTATTTGTAAAACAGTGGGAGTGGGTAAGAGTGCCTTTCTCATAAAAAAATATTGACAGGGATTAAGTGAGCTAATGCAGGTGAGCTACTCGGCAGACAGGCTGGCACCACAGAGCTGGCGGGTGTCGTCGCTGCTGCAGGTCCCATCTCAGAGCCGCCTGGACATACTGCTCCCCTGCCCCAGGCCAGGAGACCCTGTGCTGGTCCCCTGCTCCTGCCCTGAAGGAGGGGCAGCCAACAGCAATCCTGGGCCCCCTGAAGCCCGACTCTCTTTCCAGGTAGAACTTGGCTGAGAGGCCCAGGTGGGACAGCTGGGAGGCTGGGTGGGTTAAGGTGAGTCCCCAGGGAAAGAGCAAGAACTGGAGGACCCTTTGGGTCCCAGCTGCACCCATCCAACTGTGTGACCTCCATGTGTCACTTGACCCTCTGTGGCCTGCTTCCTGAGGAGATGATCTCACTGGGGAGGTAGAGTGAGGCCAGTGACTGAGCAGGGCTGGGGTGCTGCGTCCAGGGCAGGGGGTGCAAGGAATATACATTTCTGGCAGTAAAGAACCCACCTGCCAATGCAGGAGGCATAAGAGATGCCAGTTTGATCCCTGGGACAGGAAGATCCCCTGGAGGAGGGCATGGCAACCTACTCCATTATTCTTGCCTGGAAAATCCCATGGACAGAGGAGCCTGGTGGGCTACAGTCCAGGGGGTCACAAAGAATTGGACACAATTGAAGTGACTGAGCACACACGCATGCATATATATGTGTGAATATATATATGTGTATATATATATATACACATCAGTTTAGTTCAGTCCCTCAGTCATGTCTGACTTTGCAACCCCACAGACTGTAGCACGCCAGGCCTCCCTGTCCATCACCAACTCCTGGAGCTTATTCAAACTCATGTCCGTTGAGTCGGTGATGCCATCCAACCATCTCATCCTCTGTTGAACCCTTCTCCTTCCACCTTCAATCTTTCCCAGCATCAGGGTCTTTTCCAGTGAGTCAGTTCTTCACATCAGGTGGCCAAACTATCAGAGCTTCAGCTTCAGTCCTTCCAGTGAATATTCAGGACTGATTTCCTCAGCATTGACTGGTATGATCTTCTTGCAGTCCAAGGGACTCTCAAGAGTCTTCTCCAACACTACAGTTCAAAAGCATCAATTCTTCTGCTCTCAGCTTTCTTTATAGTCCAACTCTCTCATTCATACATGACTACTGGAAAAACCATTGTTTTGACTAGATGGACCTTTGTCGGCAAAGTAATAATGTCTCTGCTTTTTAACATGCTGTCTAGGTTGGTCATAGCTTTTCTTCCAAGGAGCAAGCGTCTTTTAATTTCAAGGCTGCAGTCACCATCTGCAGCGATTTTGGAGCCCCCCAAAATAAAGTCTTTCACTGTTTCCATTATTTCCCCATCTATTTGCCATGAAGTGGTGGGACCAGATGCCATGATCTTAGCTTTCTGAATGTTCAGTTTTAAGCCAACTTTTTCACTCTCCTCTTTCACTTTCATCAAGAGGCTCTTTCTTCCAACCAAAACAAAACAGAAGCACTTGGAAAGATTTATAATGATGATGCTGCTCCGTCTCTCCCATCTCTGTCCCCTTCATCAGAGGCAAGCCCTTCCCTGTTTCTGGCTTCAGTTCTCTGGGGCCACTCCTATTTCAGAGGGGTTTTTGGTCAAAGTGGTAGAGAATCCCTTCTCCTTTCCAGGCTCTGATATAATGCAGAGGATATTTTTATAAGCGGTGAGACATTCAGAACTGTATGCAAACATCTTCAGAAAGGCTACAACAACCCCCTTATGTTCTTGTCCCAGTTTTGCCCACACTTCTTGGGTCTTCACCGATAAAGTCTATTTCATCACATCGATTCATGTGTCCAAACAGTGGCTAAAAACCAGAGGCTTTTCCTTAGCTAAGTTCATAAGCAGAACCATGTCATTCCTCTTTCCTAAACCTTCTTCTCTCTCTCTCTCTGGGAAGTTAGCAAAAGGGACATTGAATGTGATGTTTCTTTTCTCATTTGGGGCATTGAAAACTGGGGTTCCTATAGTCCTAGTAGGAATATTCTAAATTAGAAAGTATGTATGAATTCCGACGACACAGAGCAAAATACCAAAACTGAAGAAATATCTTAGACATCGATACCCTCTACTTGTAACTCTTATCCACTTTTCCTAGAAGGGGACCCTACCGAGACTGAGGGCAGAGTGCCCTTTCAGCACATCTACAGCAAGTCTGGGTGTTCACAGGGGAAGGAAATACTCCCAACACCGGAAAGGCCAAAGTTCCTTGCCCCCAACTTACTTGCCACAACCATCCCAGCATCTCCTGACAGAGTCCACCCCTTGACCCCTTCGAGTCATTGGAAACAGATGGGCAGAAATGGCCATTATCCACTACGAGGTGAAAGAATGGGTCTGGGGCCCATCTCTCTCAGCAACAGTAAAGGGCCAGTAAAGTAAGCACACCTTGATCTTTCCATAAGATCTTATAGAAAAGTCCACATGAATTTCTTGGCCAACCCAGTATTTAACTGACTGCTATTTTGTGATGCATGTTACCCTTGTTGCTGTGGTTTTACACACACACACATACGTGTGTGTGTGTGTATGGTGATTTTTAAAAAATTATGTATCTATTTTTGGCTGCGCTGGGTCTTTATTGCTGCACGGGCTTTTCTCTGGTCGTGGAGAGTGCGGGCTACTCTTTGTGGCAGTGCGCCAGTTTCTCGTTGCGGTGGTTTCTCTTGTGGAGCACACGCTCTAGAGCACAGGCTCAGTAGCTGCGGCACATGGGCTTAGTTGCCCCATGGCATGTGGGATCTTCCTGGACCTGGGACTGAACATGTGTCCCCTGCATTAGCAGGCAGATTCTTACCCACTGAACCACCAGGGAAGACCCTGTTGCTGTTGTTGTTTTATCTTCTATCCCTCTTGCCTTTCCATCTCATATTAGCTTTTCATATGTGAGGTTGAGATGTTCCCTTTTTCAGTTTGAACTGGCTTAAAGTGTTCCACCAATGTGGGTGTTAATTCAGGTTATCCTGTTGGACCTGGGGATGCTACCCCTGGTTTTGGTTTTATACCAGAGCTTACATCCTCTTCTGGGAGGCACATCATTTTCTGCCAGCCATGGAGGGAGCGGGGGCATTAGTTTGGACCTCCGTAGCCTTGTTGGTCCAGAGCATGATACTGAGTGAGAGTTGATAAACTGGTTAATCGTACAGGCAAAGATCATCCCGTAATCATTCCATCTTCTCCCTCTGTCAGGGGAGTACCCTGATGTGGCACCCATGGGGCTTTACAGCAAAGCCAGCTATTTGTACGGAAGTTTCCATGAAGAGGACTGTACGCCTCCTGGGAAGATCTCATAAAATGAATCTACCGCTGGCAAGCAGAGTCATGGGGAAGATGCTGACAGATGGGGCATCTCAGTTAACTACAGTTGTTAGGAAGAACAAAAATGGGCATCTCTGAGTGTCATATCCAGACACTGAAACTTTCCAGGTCCTGTATCTTGCTTCCCTCCACCTGGGTGGAATTCCAGTAATAATATCAATCGTGCCACAGACCGCAAGTCACAGCCTCCACTGACTTTCCTCTGACTAGCACTGACTGTTCTTCCTGTGTGGACTTGCCAAGTCTACATCACGACTCACTTTGAAACTCTTTCCATGGCACTGTGCCTTAAAAGCAAGAGTCATTCTCCCAAAGATTTTGTCTAATGCCCTTCAGGTCTGTGACTACAGGGGTTTGTGGAGAACCTGACCCACCCCAGGAGCTAAGCACTGACCAGTTGTGGGTCAGGAGGCAGTGCTGGCTAAACGGGATGAGAGTTGGAAAGACAGTTTTCAGGGGTAGGGTAGGGATGTTTTTAGCCACCACCCTGAAGGAAGGGGGAAATACCAGGGTCTCCCAGCTTGGAGAGGAACAGCAGATGTGAGTGAGCCCTGAGATGGATCCCAAAATTCCAGATGATGACAACAATGGTACCAGCTGAGGTTGGCCTGTGCCAGATGGTGCTAAGAGCTTTCACTTCACTGTCTCAGTTAACCCTCAAGATAACTCCATGAGGTACGTACTGGTCACCATTTCCTCCCATCTGTTCTCCTTAGAGAGTATGATGGAGGAGCCAGCACTATAAATGGAGCGACTATTGAGAAGCTGAGCAGCCTGGGGTAGAACCATAAGCCACTCTACCACGTGTCTGTATCAGGGAGATCTGACCTGTTGTTTGAGGCGACCACCCTGTTTCTTTTTTTTTTTTCACCCTGTGTTTCTACCTCACCTGCCACTCGATAGGCAGGATGGATTCTGGGCTCACACTTTGACCAAATGACTGTGAGCTGTATTCTCTGATCAGACTCCATGAAGTCAGGGATTGTTGCTTGTTGTGCAGTTGCTCAGTCGTGTCCAACTCTTTACAGTGCCATGAACTGTCGCCCGCCAGGCACCTCTGTCCATGGGATTTCCCAGGCAAGAATACTGGAGTGAGTTGCCATTTCCTTTTCCAGCGGATCTTCCCGACCCAGGGATTGAACCCGGGTCTCCTGCTTGGCAAGCAGACTCTTTACCACTGAGCCACCGGGGAGACCCAAAGTC